AGGCTTTTCCACTGGCTTCTGCTAACACAGGTGTTATGTCTTCTGGCCCGGGCCAAATTCACAAGTTTACATTCTTATTTTTCAGTCATCCACTTTGATAGATGCCTAAATACTCACCCATCACACGTGAGTTTTTAAAATAGGACCCCATAAAAGAGAGAGCAAGGGAGGGAGGACATGAAGGCAAGAGCACCGGGTCAGAGTCTGAAGACCCAGAGCTGAGGCTCCTCCCCTGGCTTTACCCTACAAATAGCAAGTTGGGCAGCTTGTTTTGGCAGCTCCATTTCCAAATCTGAAAGATGTGGATAATAACAATCTCCCTTATTGACCTTACAGGCTTGTCAGGAGGATCAGATGTGCTGATGGAGTTGAAAGTGCTTTGAAAGCTGTAATATATGAGACAGACAATAGCTGTTTACTGAGGCTTCCCTTTGTGCCAGGCATGGGGGAAGCATTTTGTAGAGGTTATTTAATTGATTCTCCGCAGCAACCACCTGAGGCAGGTACTCCTCGTCCTATTTTACAGGTGAGGGAGACTGCCTCGGATTAAGTAAATTACCCAGGTCACACATTTTGTTAAGAAAATGTAAGCCTTCTAAGCTCTTGGCACAAGCACTTTTTAATCTTTCTTCCTCCTCTTCTTCTTGTGGTTTTTCTTCTTATTTTCTTCTTCTTCATCTCCGTCTCTGTCTCCATCTCCGTCCCCTCCCCACCTCTTTTCTTCCTGTAAACTGTATGGGGAAGTGTGGCAGTCATTAGGACTTCAGCAAATCTTTCTCCTCATGGTAAATTTGTTATTCCTTGCCCTTTTCAAAATCAGCTCCAGCCATGTGATTAGCTTTCGCCAATGAAATTTGAACAGAAGTGACATGTGCCCCTTCTGGGCAGAAACTAAAAAATCTGTGCATGATTTTCCACATTCCCTCCCCACTTTTGGAAATATGTATCTAGTTGAAATGTCCATCAACCTGGACTGTTGAGTGATTAGGATAACAGAGCACCTCCCGCTGCCCCACCACATCTACCTGCACTGGAGATGTGCACATGGGTGAAATATTTGTGTGTTTGTGTGTTTAAACCTCTGAGATTTGGAGGTTGTTTGTTACTGCAGCATAACTGAGCCCATCCTGACTATATTGGAAGCAAACCTGTTGGGAAAACCATTAACAAAAAAGAGCAGATTGTAACAGGAAAGCACTGCCTGGAGTGGGAGTCCCCCAAGTTTGGGTACTGCTATCAACTTATGTGGTGAACTTGGGCATCTCAGTTTATTATATTGGAAAACAAGGGAGATGGAGTCCCTTATTTCTCAGTCATGTTCAGGAGACAGAGCTTATGGAAGCTGTGGCAGTCCTACCAGGATCCAGGAAGTACTGATGTGTTACATGAAAATAACTGTTTACTACGCTCTGCTCAGTCTCATACCATCTAAAATGAGATAAGAGGTAAGTATACTAAATGTTTGAGAAAAATGTTTTTTAAAAAAACTTAAATGATTTTCTGTATATTTATTTAATTTCCCTTGACCAAATCACACTACCTACAAAATAGGAAGATTTTATGATTTTTGGATGTTTTTCACTGGAACTCCTTGTCCAGTCTCAAGACACCAGCATTCTGTGGGTGAATGGTTCAAGAATTGCCAGACTAAATAAATGGCTTCCTATTTCTCTCTTCTGCTATAATGCCCTCGAATTCTGAGTCTGTGAACCTTTAACCTTTCCTAATGTCCTTTTGGAGCTCCTTTTTCACCAAAAATGCCACTCATGGCTAATGAGGTGACAGGTGGCTAAGATAATTAACTCTGAAGGCTTGAAAAAATTACAAATAAGCAGGTTAAGAAAATGGGAAGGAGGGCCAGCCCCAGTGACCTAGTGGTTAAGTTTAGTGCCCTCTGCTTCAGAGGCCTGGGTTTGGTTCCTGGGTGCAGACCTACACCACTCGTCTATCAGTGGCCATGCTGTGGTGGTGGTTCACATACAAAAAGGAAGTAGATTGGCAGTGGATGTTAGCTTAGGGTGAATCTTCCTCAGCAAAAAAAAAAAAAAAAAAAAAAAAGAAAGAAAGGAAAGAAAGAAAGAAAATGGGAGGGAAAGCCAATGTGCTTTTGGCAGTCTGAATGAGGAGATCTGTGTAACATGAGCTGGAGAGTGGGCCCCACTGGTTCTAGGTCTTCTCCATATCTCTCAGATCGGTCCACTTCTGTTCATTACCATAGCTGCTATCAACTCTTGTCTGAACTGTTTTAATAATCTCCCAAAGAGTACCCCCACTTCCCAGGGCTGGGACCAGGGTGAGGCATGGGAGGCACCTAGGACATAATATTTAAGGAGGCACTTACTCTCAGGTGTTGACTCCACACTTGCATGGCCATGAGAGTGAGTGCCTTCTTAAATGTTTTGCACTACATGCCTCCCTTGCCTCACTCTTGTCTTGGCCTTATTACTGCCAGGCTTGGCCCCATCCTATCATCATCCACACCATAGCCAGATTGATGGTCCAAAATATGAATCTGATTATGTTACTTCTTTGCTTAAAATCCTTAAATGGCTGCTCTCTAAGTCCAGGATGAAATTACACATTCTTCTTCCTTCATCAATTCATTGACTTTTTGATTGATTGGTTCATCAATTCAACATGTATAGAACCAGGAACTGTGCTAGGTGCTAGGATTAGAATGATCAGCAAGACCAGCAATGTACCTGTTCTTCTGCTGCTGAAGTTCAAGTGAGGAAGACAGACAGGACACTGTGAACAAATAGGACTAGAAAGACATGGTGCACTCTGGTAAGTGCTGTAAAAGAAATAAACAAGGGCTGAGATGTCAAAAGGGCAGGGGCAGGGCCTACTTTAGATGGAGCGGACAACAAAGGCTACCTTGATTGAGGAGGTGACAATTAAACACACTGGAAGTTGGAGCAGCCAGGTCTCTGACCAGTGTGGAAAATGAATTTCAGGTGGAGGGAACAGCATGCTCCTGAGGCAGGAGCAGACTTGGCATGTTCAGGGAATGGAATGGAAGCCAGTGAAGTTGGCGTGTAGAGGAGAAGATGGGAGATGGGAACAAGGGTCAGATCATGCAGTGTCTTGGAGGCCATAAAAAGAGCCTCAAATTTTACCCAAAGTGTAACAAAAAGACATGGAAGAATCTTATGCAGAAGAGTAACATGAATAGATTAATATTTTGAAAATACTATTTTATCTGCTATGTAGAACATAGTGTAGAAGGGCACAGATTGAACAGAGGAGGCCAGCGTGGAGGCCACAGCAACATTCGAGGCAAGAGATGCCAGTAGTCTGGACCTGAGTGAAGGCCCTGGAGATAGAAGAGGACAAATACCATATGTATTTTGGTGAACAACAGATAGAAGTTGTTGATTATTTGGATATGAATGTGTACACATGTATGAGTAGAGAGTGATTGGTGACAGAATGGGAAAGATCAGGAACTCCTTGCAGAAGTGAGAAGATGTGGATGTTACCAACTGAGGAAGGGAGAGCTGGGGCAAAGGAGGGGATGAACAGGTGTATGTTTGGGGCAATAAATCAATAAGACTTTTCTAAGCTTTCTAAGTTTGAGGTGACTCTCAGACATCTGAATGAAGATGTCAGATAGGCAGCTGGAGGGTGGGGAAGAGGCAAAGGCTGAAAGTGTGAACTTGGGAATCAAAAGCTTACAGACAGATGGCATGTAATGTCATAGAACAATTTCTGCTTCCAGCCAAGATGGACTAACAGGAACCACATTTACCCTCACATCCTAGAAAATGAAAAACTGGACAGAAGATAAAAAAGCAGTTTTCATCCGTTAAACATTAGGCAGTGGTACTTGAGAGTGGGGAAATACAAGAGGTGAGCTATGATTTTCTCAGCTTACTGCCTGGAGAGTTTCCAGGATGTGCTGCAGAGATGGGGAAGCCAGGCAGAGTCTGGCGGTCTCCTTGAGCTGAGATGACAGAGCTGGGAGTTGTGGGAGCCCAAGGTGGATAGAGTTTGTGTTGGAGAGCAGAGCGGCATAAGGTACGTTGGTGATCTGCAGGAGACCCAGTTGGCCTAGTGGCTGCCTCTGCTCCTGGCTGACCCAGGCAGCGCTTTGATATCTGCTGTAGCCCCGGGCAGTGATCACAGCTTTCTCAGCCTCTTTTTGTGGGTGGAAGATTCCCGCTCAGCTCCAGGTTTCACGCGTTGAGTCTGACGCTGGCCCCCATCACACTACCTGGGCCTCTTTCCATCTCTGCTGTGAACTTCTGGCTGCCCCTGCTGGCTTATCGGCCTGGAGCCCTGCAGTCCTCCCCTCTCTTCCCACTGACTGCTGTGTGTTTCTCTTGCATGTGTGACCTGTAGGGATATGGACCTTGTTTGGAAATATGATTGTTTTTCTTTTAAATCTTTTATGTTATATCTCTTATTACTGTTTTTATTTTTTAGAGAAGGGTTGAAATACTAATTAATTGTCAGGCAAGATGACAGAACAATCCGTCTCTTTCTTCCTGCGTATCACAGCAGCATTTGCTCCTCTTTCTGGACATTCCATCTTCCTTTGGCTTTTGCGACACCGCGTCTCCCACTTCTCCCTTACCGCCCTGGCTCTTCTCAGTGTCTTTGTGGAGTGCTCCAGGGATCCACCCTTGGCAATGTCTCTTATCCAATTTGATTGCTACAGGTGCCCTATCCTTGCCACTGACTCCAGCCCAGGCCAGTCCACTTGCATGTCTATTAGGCACTCCCAATGTAACATGTTCAAGATCAAACTCTCTAACTTCTCACCCCAAACCTATTCCTCCACCTGTATTTCCTAGTGTGGAAAATGGCACCCCATAAAACCAGACATTTAAGCCAGAAACCTGACTGCTATCACAGATTCCTTTTTTTCTTTTTTTAATCTGGCACATCTAATAAATTACCTTCTTGTAGGTCTTGCACCTGTAATCCACATATATCTTGGCTTGTTGACTCTTGCCTTGAAGTAAGCCTTGGCTTGGATTCATAGAAAAAAGCCCCTGCAGTCTGGAAATCAAAACCAAAAATTTGCAAACAATTTTAACCTTTACTGAATCCCATAGAGAACTAAAGAGAGGTCCCATTCTTAATACACAGCAAACATTGAAATGTGCTTTTCTCATTTTTCTTTCTCTCTCTGTCTTTATCTATAGCTACATCTCTCTCTCTGTCTCTCTCTTAACTATCTCTGAGTAGCTCCTTTCTTGTTTCTTCCTGAAAAGCTCCAAAACCCTTCAAACCTAGCCTGCTACTATCCCCAAACCCAAGGATCTTTTATTTCCCCTTCTCTTTCGTTGTTTCATGATCTACTCTGGACTTTTTCTGATATAAATCAATCCCATACTCATCTGTACCTCTCAGATTTTCCCCGAATTCATACCTCTTTCAGCACCGCAAAAGACTGAGAACTGAGTAGATTCACAGACGTGTCTTTGGAAAGGAGGGAGGGTATTGAAGGAGAATGCCTTTACTTCAAATTTAATATTTTTTTTCTTCTCTCACTGCCAAAAATCGCTTAAATTTCTTTCACACCCATTCTCTTCCCTCCATTCCTGCTGCAATGATTATATCCCAGTGTCAAAAACTGTGAAGGGCCTGAGATTGTTGCCTAATTATAAGCAAACAATCAAGCCTGCCACAGTTTCATGGATGCTGATAGAAGATACAAGTCTTAAGGGTCAAAGACAAAGGGTGATTTATTGCTCACAGCAATAGCAGTAGCCAGAGTGTCAGCAGATAGTGCAAAGAGAACCAGAAGGCACCTGCACGCACAGTGAGTTGCATTACAGGAGAGGAACCCTGAGCTTAGGGAACCCAAATTTTTTATAATGAGCAGTAAGCGTGCCTGCTCTTTGCTCTGGGAAGGTCAGGGGAGATACTATCTCTATCTTCTTCTAGCTGTTAGCAAAACTTCCTTTGTTCTGGAGGGAGACATCATCTCTTTCAAGGCTGTTGGATGTACAAAGGTCCTCAAAGAGATAGTCTGGAACAGAGGGCAGTGAGTGTCTCACTCACAAGACATGCAGAAACATAGGAGGCCCAGGGAGAATTGTCTCCTTTCACCTCCTCTGGACAATCATCATTTGTTGTTGGAATATTACAATATCTGCCCATTGGCCAAGCTGTTCCTAGTCTTGCTTTCTTCCAACCCATCCTACCTCTGCTGCAAGGGTGATCTTTTGTAATGCAGATAGGGTCATGCAACCTTCCCTTGCTTAGAATAATTTAATGGCTGCTCATTTCCCATAGGATGATTTCCTTAGTGTGCCACATAAAATATTTTTTAGTTCAGTTTTGCCTGCCTTTTCAGCCATCTCTCCCGTTCTATGCTGAAAATGTTTGGCGTTTAAAAAGTGAGTATAATCTTGTACTTAATATGATAATCATTTTTGGAACTACATCTACATGGAAAGCAATTTACAGGTTAATGGGCCTGAGACAGCCTTCATGAACTACCTTACAAACTTGTAAACTATTCTTGATGAAGTGCATCTCAAATTCTATTTGTACTGTTTGTGTGTGTGTATGTGTGTGTGTCTGTATGTGTTAATGACAGACAAAGGAAATTTAAAAAGAGAGAATTCTCCTGTAAGCCCAACAAATGGAAGTAAATGTTCTATTTATTTATATTTTTCTGCAAGGATCTAGGCCTTGCATAGATCAATTGCAGTTGAACTTGTCTCCTGTCTGGTTCTCACAATGACCTCTTGCTCTGATTTGCAACTGGGGTTTAAAATCCCCTCTCTCAAGTTCGCACAACTGTCCCTTCAGGGGCTTTGCATTTTCTCCCAGTCTGAGCATTTTTAGACAAATGTCAGTTTTTTGTCATTAGCCTTGTGAGAATTTCTGGAAAAAAATAAACAGTTTGGAGAAGGAAACCCACTCTGGGAGTGAAGAATATGAGTCAGTGCCATGTTGGGAGGAGGGGTGCGGAGACAATGAGCTTTTGGCTAATATCTTGGGGCTCTTTCATTGAGATTAGAAGCTGGGAGTGGCTTTGGCGCCCTGCTTTCTGGTTTCTACCCCAGGAATAGAAGTCCATGGCAGGAAAGGAATGGTAGAGCAAAGTTTATGAGGACTATTTATGATATATTGAAATGGAAAGATGCTTTTTATAATGACTTAAAATTTGTCGAATTTGTGAGGGATTGCAGCATTTCATAACTGTTGCCCCAAGAGAAACCCAGGCCTCCTCAAATCTGGGCCTAACTACCCTGCCTCCTTACTTCCCACTGAGCCCATCAAGGATTTGTCTTCCTGCTACTTGCTGACTGAGTGGCCTTGGGTGAGTTACTGCCTGAGTCTTGGCTTTCTATCCATTAAACAGGAGTAACGACACAATGAGATTGTTGTGAAGACTGGAATAAAATAAACAGTGTTAGATGGAAGAGTATTTTAAGCTATAAAATGCTATAAAAAACTAGAAATTTGTCTTCTTTGGTTCCTGAAAGCCAAGCTTTCCCTCTTACACTGCTTTGCTTTGACCTCAGGCTCTATCAGCTTTATATACACAGAGCCAAACAACTGTGGTTGCAAATGGAAATATTTAAAAATACGGTTAAAATAAAAGTTTTGCTATTTTTCAAAACTATAGACAAATAGTTAAAAAAAAAACATAAACAAACCCAAACTATGGATAGTACTAATTCTAGTCTTTGCTGTGGAATGATGTGAACTTGGGTCAGTCATTGCCAAGACTTGCCTCTTCACCACCCCTTTCTAGACTATGAAGACCTAAAGGACACCATGGACTTGCCACTGGTGAGTGGGTAGATGAGTAGTAAATGTTTGTTTAAAAAAGTGAGTGGGCCTTGGTTTCTTCACCTTTAAAGGATGAGAGTGGGACTGTATCAGGGTTCTTCTAAGTAAGGCAGGTGACTCAGGGGATTTTGATAGGAATTTCGTGGGCCACATCTAGCATTTGGTAATGCAACAGAAGGGAATAGAGTAAAAACTTAGAGTAGACTACACATAGTAAGGTAGATATTTCTTTGTGAAACTTTTGTTTCAGTTGTGTGTGGGTGCTAGGTCTAGGTGTCAAGTATGTTTCTTATGGTTCATTGTGGCTAAAAAATGCGTAGAAAACACTGGGCTAGTCCTCCCGTCTCTAATATCACATTGCTGCTACTACCCCCCTCACCCCCCATAACCCCTTCCATTTGATTAATACTTTACATTCTACAAAGAATGTTTACACCCACTCCTTCATATGGTCCTCATCAGAACCTGGGGTAGGGAGGGACATGCTATTACTCTTCTCCTTCTTGTAGAGGAGGAGAGACTTGTATCCTCAAATCTCCCTTCTAGGAGGAACTGTCTTTGTTTCAAGAGACATTTAAATGAGGCCTGGGAAAGAAGGCTGGACCACATGATCTCAGGAAGAAAGGAGCAGGTCCCTGTCTCCTATGAGTAGGAGATATTGAAGAGGGGGCTTGTGTGTGGAGAGAGGCCAGTGAGGTTGCATGGGGGAGGGGAAACAAAGAAAGAACCCTTGGAGAATGTGGGCTGTTTAGTGGAGTGCTGCTGTGCATTGCATGATCTGACCTTCTTCCCAGGATTCTCCTAATCTTCAGATATGATTACTTAAAAGTCATGAACTTCTTGCTGTGATCGGATTTCTTGTGGAATCTGGCACAGAAGCTGATTTCTGCATCAAGTTGTAGCCAAAGTCAAAGCAGAAACAGCATGCGTGGATGAAGGAACATCTGGGTTACATATAGATGATGAGACTGAGGGTCAGAGAGGCTTTACGACAGCTCATCAAAAAGAGGCTAAGTGATTGGCTGGAGGCTCTCAGTAACCTTGGAATTAGATGAGGTGGAAGGATGAGACCACCCAATTCAGTTCCTTTTTTTTTTAAATTGATATGGCTTTATGTGTTCTGGCCGTGATACAGTGTTATCTTGAGACTTAAATGTGGTATCAGCATACAAGTGATCTGAAAATGGTCAACAAGAAAGCCAAAGGCTACTTCAGACAGAGAACATGCCTCTTCTAGTTGATGTATGTGCAGAGGTGCAGAATTTTCTGCGGGTGCTGAAAATCGGGGGCCCATGTTATGCTTCCCACTACTACCCCTCAGGGACAAACAGAGAGAAGTCATTCTCAGGGACGCCTGCGGCAGGCACTTTACAGGGTGTCTTTAGGAAGACGATGGGCGTCCCGAATTTTGGCATTACAGGGAGCTGCACTATAGCTATTAGGAAAGCGATAGTGAGAACCGTAAAGGTACAGCTGAAAAAACAAGCAATTGCAGATAGAGAGACTGAGGCTTCTTATCAATAAGGCATTTCATTCCCAGAGTGAAGAAATGTCTGTTCCTGTGCAGATTGGGTTAAACTCAGATTGTCGTGGGACCGTGAGAGGACTACACACTGCATTTTTGCAGTACTAGCATGGCAAAAATGGTACAGGCAGTGATCAGGGTCTGATCACAGCGATAAAGCTCATGCCAACCCTCCTCTGTCCTGCCGTGATTCTCAGCCTGGGGTAGGGGTAAGCGTCAGAGCCTCCAAGGAGACTTTCTTAAAGGACTTCGGTCCCCTACCCCGCCCCAGCAGATTTTAATGAATTTTCCCCTGTGACATCCTCTTTCTCCCTTTATCTTAACCAGCTGACAATTACTACATGCAAAATAGATATTACTGACGAGCATGTTTTGTTTGTCTGAGAAAGTCTGAGAACTCGTGGACAGGGTCTGGAAGGCCCACATCAGTTTATGTCACATGTGTAGAGATATGCATGGAGTTTTTTTCCCTGTGGTTTGGATTCTGTTATTCTCAATGTATTCTCTAATGCTCTCAGGTATAAAGATCTTAACTGAACATTGGGATTAATTTTCTTGCCTCCAGGGTGGGCAAGCCAGGTAAGCAGCCTCTGCCCGTGCCAGAGTCACACCTGAGCAAGGCTTACTCTTGTCGAGGTGCTCCACCGATTACAAAAACGCCTTTGTAAACCACAAACTGCTCTTCAAGGTAAGTGGAAATGATTTCTGCCCTGCCCCAACAGTCTTCTACACTCAATAAGTCACTGCATTCACAGTGGTCTCTTTATGAAATTCCCTGTTCCCCCCGTTATGAGTAAGTAACTTGATACAGCTTTTCGGTGCCTTCTTTGTCTCTAGATAAATAGCTCAGGGGGAAGTTACAAAACCCCCCTCTCTCCCTAAGAATACTCACCCACTTGTGAGTACTGGAGCTTTCACATCTTTTACTTCTGAACCTCACAGCAGCTCTGTGGGAGAGGTAGGATAAGACCTATTTTACAGGTGAAGAAACTGAGGCTCAGAGAGGCCAAGCTACCTGTCTAAGGGCTTTAAACTGAGGCCTCCTGACCCCCGGAATGCGTTCTAACCATTAGACTATCAGTGAGGTCAGGGATGAGGTCACACTCCAGAACTTAGTATGTAGAACAGTGCTCAGTAATGTCCACTGTATGAACAAATGAGCAAAGGAACAAACGATTGCATGGGGTTCAGCTCTTTGAATCCCCTGGGGCCTAGCATGGTATCTAGCATGGAGTAATGCTCAGCCGATGTTTGCTGTGAGGGAGAGTGAATGAATGAATGAAGGGTGCCTCTGTGAGGGTCAGATGTGGGGGCTGGAGGTTATGAGGCACTTACCTGGGCTCACCTCCAGGTTTGGGTCCTTGTTGACCCTTCCTGACAGTTCTAGTGAAAGGTTCCCCGCTCGGGGCCCAGAAGCCTCCTTACTCTCAGCACATGCAGGAGGCTGCAGAAACACACACCCATCGGAAGCACCTTTCCTCTACAGAAAGCCGATCTAGAATGTGAATTAAGCGTCCCAGGAGGACATCATCCCCTACCCCCACTGTCTTTGGAGCCATGTATATGGGCATCTCCTCCCCCAAAGGCCAGGAATAAAAAGTCCACTCTACCTTGCCCCGCTGAGAAGCAGCATCTTAGAGCTCTAGTCCCTTCATCATCCTGGGTCTTATTTATTGTCGTCCTATTTCAGAGCACTCACAAATCCCAGGGAGGCCTTGCCCCTGTGCTCCAGGCCTTCAGACGACTGTTAATACTTGATCCCCTGTCCCAATTAATCAGCTGCTCTGTGCATTTGAAATGCCACCCTGCTTGCATCTGTGTTGTTGGAATGTTCTCCTTGCTGAGGCTTTGCCACTTGCAGACTGGAGCAATGAAAAGGAGATGTGCTCTGCTTTTGTCCTGTCTGCTCTTCCTATCTCTGGAACAAGCACATTTTGTTCAGACGGGAACAGCTGCTGCGTTCGGATCCACACCTTCTGCCCAGGGCTGAATCTGACTCTCCCCCTTTCTGGCCAGTTGACGACTCAGTTTCCTTGACTGTAAAATGAAGACTCCCTGTCCTGCCTACCAGGCTAGATATCAGTGTTGGCTTGAATTATTCTTGCTTCCAGGACATGTTCTAAAAGTGGCTTGTTTGTTGAAATAAGCTTTCTTTGTCACTTGTCATTTTCTTCTTAAAGCGTAATCTGTGTTAATTAAAAGAAAAATACAAAACAGAAAGCAAAATAATTGATGCCAATTGAAGATCAATGTGTAAAATAATCACCCCGCTGCCTAAATCCAAACCTTTTAATAAGCCACCCCCAAAAGGCCCTTTGCTCATTCTTTGTGTCTCCTTGGGAGTCGGGGAGTGGGAGGCAGTTAACATGGCTCACACCTATGTGTGCTGTACATATTAGCCCTTAGTGACGAGCTCTTACTTAACCCTCAGAGCATCACCGTCGGCAGCACAACCACCTATCTTGCAGCTAAGAAACCTGAGGCTCCACCAAGTCAATCAGTTGCCAGATTCATGCTTTTATTACTCGAAGGAGTGGGGGATGCACCCACATCTCTCTATCTTCAAAGCACAGCTCTTATCTCTGCCTCATCCCTCTTTCCAGAAAGAAATGGTCGGTAGAAAACACTCAGATGGCCCATAATTGGGAAGGTTGTCAGTCTTCATGCCCAAGAGATCTTGGATACAAAACTTCCATACAAGGTTTTGAAACAGGATTAAGTTATATGATTTATCATGTCACCCAAAAGAAGAGTTTCTGTATGTTTTCAAAGGAGATGGTGCTAAGAGTGTGTGCTATGTGTGAGCTCATAAGTTAGTGGAATTAATAGTCACTGAGCGCTGTTATGCATCTATGATAAGTATCTCATTTAATCCTCTTAAATAATCTTCCCCGCAAGATATTCCTTTTTTGTGGTGTTTTGATTTATTTCTACTTTATCATGAAAATTTTCAAACACATATAAAACTAGAAATAATATAATACACATCCATATTTTGCTCACCGAGATTAGCAGTTATTGTCAATTTTCCACTTTTATTTTCTTTTTTCCCTGCTTAATTATTTTAAAGTATAGATGTAATAACATTTCACCCATGAAAATTCCGGTGCTGAGTTAGAGAGCTTAAATTTTGGAATGTGAGTTCCTTAAATGCCAAGTTAAGAGGGGCTGGAGATGATGTTTAGAGAGACTGTGAGCGGACTGCAGCCTCCAGGTAGCGCCTGTATTTGGAGCTTTCCATTTTCATTCCCTTTCACACACAGTAATGCCACGCGATGTGCAGAGAATGTTTAGGCTCCCTGTACCCATTGGAATCTAGGGGGCATAGCTGGGGATGGTCTACTCCAAACTTGAAATTCCTAAGAATCCTGTTTGTCTTTAAAAAAAATACCAATTCTGCTTTATAATCTTTTCAAGTGTGTTTTAACATGTATTCATGAACTTATTTGTTCATTCATCCAACAAATATCTTTTGAGAACACACTATGCCCAAGCACTGGATACATGTTAATGAAAAAATCAGACCTACAGGTGGGATCTTCTTATCCCCACTCCACTTTTCTAGTGAAATTGGCGCTTCATATGACCCACCGTGCCGATCCCATGGCTTCCTGTGTTCCGTTTACTCTTTGGCACACTTTGATTCACATGAGCACTCAGGTTTGAGAGAGAAAACTGTAAGGTTGCTGTCCCCAAGAAGCAGGAGGTGTCCAAGGATGTTGGCTGATGCAGCCGTCTGGAGAGGCACAATGCTTATGAGTTAGCTGCTGGTGGTTCACAGTCTGGTTTTCAGAGAATTCTATCACTAGTCATTCATTGCACACCTACTGTGTGCTGAACTTGAGTGGGCCTACAAAGATGAATAAGAGAGATTCCTGGGCTATGGAGTAGGCAGATGTGTAGCAAATGAATTTTATCATCATGTTATGGGGATCTTTAGTGTTTATTACCTCTAGTCTTCCATTCTATAAGAACCTGTTATTATTCATTCATTCATTTAACATATATTTATTGACAACCTCCATTTTAGGTGCTGGAGATGAGGAACAACATAGACTGAGTCCCTATCCCTGTGAAGCTTACCTTCAACATGGAATCACAATCTTTCCCATAAAACTTACGTTTGCCCAGTGGCTACAACATTCCATGGAATAGGCAAAATAAGTCTTCTTACTCTGTTTTTATAGGACAGAAAATCAAAGTTCAGAGAAATTAAGAGGCTTGTGGATAAAGCAACAGACCTGTAATTTCAAAGTAGTGCTCTTTTCTCTCCATCACATGCATACAAGTTATTGAGGTACCTGGGCTGTGAACAGCATGGGGTCAGCTCTGGGATATGAAAGCCAGCATGTATAGATCTAGTCCTGACTCCTGCCCTGAGATCCAGTCTTGTAATAAAGCCAAAAGAGAACATTTAAATTTCTTCCTCTTTCCTTCCCATCTTCCTCTTCTCGGTGAACAGTACCACAATTCACCCACTTGATAAACCAGCATTCTCCAGTTAGTCTTGATTTCTCTCTCTACCATACACATCTCCCAGATCTTGTCAATTCAACTTCCAAAACACATTCTGAATGTGCCCAGTTCTCTCCATCTCTACCATGACCTTCATTGTTTAATCACCCCTTTCTCCTTTCTGGGCTTCTGCAACAGCCCCAGAGAGATGTCCTCTTCCTGTCCTTGCCTTCCAAAGAACAGACTGAGTGAACTTTGAAAAAACATAAGTCATGACACTTCCCTGTTTAATATCCTCTAAGGAACTCAATTCCTCTTAGAACTAAATCCTGCCGCTTTCCATTGGCCTACAAGGCACTGCGTGATCTGGTTTCTTCCTTCTTCTCACTCATCTCCAATCCATCCTCAGCCTGGGCCTCCAGCTACACCCTCAACACAAGCCCCACTGGTGTTCTTTCTGGTCTAAGAAAACTCCAAGCCCATTTCCATTCTCTTTGTTCTCACATGGGCAGGCCCTTCTAATCTCAATCTAATCAGTTGATTCTCAGATTAAATGTCACTTCCTCAGAAATGCCTTCTTTGACCAGCCTCTGTAAAGTAGCTCCTGACATTCTATCACATCCCTCTGTTTTAATGTTCTATATTATGCTAATCTCTATGTGACATTGCTTCTTGTTTATTTGCTTGTCTACCTATTGTCTGTATTCCCCAATAGAAGGTAAGCCCCAGTAGAACAAGAATCTTGTCCATCATCTTTATTTCTGTATATTCTCAATGTGCTCAATAAATTTTTTATTTTTGAAGAAGATTAGCTCTGAGCTAACATCTGCCTCCAATCCTCCTCTTTTTGCTGAGGAAGACTGGCCCTGAGCTAGCATCCATGCCTGTCTTCCTCTACTTTATATGTGGGACACCTGCCACAGCATGGCTTGACAAGCGGTGTGTAGGTTGGCACCCGGGATCCAAACCTGTGAATCCTGGGCCACTGAAGTGAAACGGTGAACTCAACCCCTGTGCCACCAGGCTGGCCCTCAATAAGTATTTTTTGATTGAAGGAAGTGAAGAAGTCAGGGCTCTTGCTCTCCAACTTCAGATAAATATTACCAGCTCATTCATTGCTCAAAGCAGTTGGTTGTAGAATGCAACCAGGTAAGCCCGTGGGTATCAATCTCTGGGCCTCATGAAAAAGCATGGCTGGGAGATCTGAGTGATAATTCTCCAACTAAGTGAAGC